CGCACAGATGTTGGGTGGGGTTTCCAAAGCCATAATGCGAACTGGGCATCTGAATTCCCTACAGGTTAGTGGGATCTGACTTACAGAATTCCTTTGTCAGCTTTGAAAAACATCTGTAATGTGTAAAAATATCCAGTCCTGGTTACCTTTGATACAGTGGTCTACAAGATACTACCAGTCAGCTTAACTGACTTTTCCTCGCTAGCCTCTCCATATAGAGAGTGACTGCCCAGGGAGCAGCCAAGATAAACTAGAGACGTTGCCTCTTGTAGCATGATAGTAAAATATGCCCAGGGAGCAGCCAAGATAAACTAGAGATGTTGCCTCTTGTAGCATGATAGTAGAATACATGAGGAATAACAACAATAAGGAAAAGGAGGTCTCATTAAAACAGCAAAATAACAGCTTTTGTAGTGACTCAAAATCTGTGCTGTGAAACGATTAAAACAGCAAAATAACAGCTTTTGTAGCGGCTCAAAATCTGTGCTGTGAAACATGGCATTTTCCACACCCAATCCTACACCCAGCCTCTTAAAGAGTGAGTAAATTGGCAGGGATCCTGATGCAAAACTGTCTTAATTCTCCTTGACAGCATATCAGCTCTCAGCTGAGGATCGTGGGGTTTTAGTCAGTGCTGGAATCAAAGGGTCTTTCTTGGGCAGCTGGAAAACTAGGAGAGGGAGCACATCACAGTGACTAAAGGCCATGCTGGAGGATTCACATCTGCAGGGGTAGGAACTAGTGACCTCCCAGCTTTGGGCCAGATCAACGTCATGGAAATAGAAAAAGTTGAAAGCACTGACTATCACACTTCCTGTTAACCAAATTCTCTCACCACCTGAAACTTATATAAAATCCCGGCTAGGCGGGTGTCTATGTTTCAAAGACCAAATGAGAACCATGTGGAGGATCTTTGGCTTTGTGATCATGTTTATTTTTTCAGCTTCATATAGGGAGGAGCAACGATCCATAAATCTATAATTACTGCTGTACAAGCCACTGCTATATACTATAGCTGGAGCAAGTTAGAGAGAATATGAGCCTTTCATATGTCACAGAGCATTGGCTGTGATACTGCAATGGTGAAAGACTGAGTCGCTAAGTTTAGCCAAGAGAATTATATGTTGTGGGTCCCTGCAATAGCAGGAAAACAACCGTGATGTTCCAAGCTGTATGTGTCAAGTACTTATGAAAGCAATTAACATTCCAGCATTGCCATTTAGTCAGTTGTTTTCTTTCCAAGTCTGCATGGTAAAGTCTTTCTAATACTCTACATTTTTTTCTGTTGCCTAATATCTCCTGTGCAAAAGAATCACACAAAATGCTGTGGGTTAGCTATTCAAGCCTTAAAATGCAACATAACTCAGTTCCATATACAGAAAGGTTCTGACGGCTTATCTTTCAAAAAGTTCAGATTAAATAAGTTCATCAGCATTACCTTGGTTTGTCTGTGTGTATGTTCATGAGGAAGTTTCAAAGGATGCTTCACTTTTAATAAATTATAGCTATTTCCAGCAGGAGGGAGGAAAGCGTAGCTCTAGTCAGCATGTTCTGCACATTGTTTCTCTACCAGATCACTGAAGTCTTTGGTATTTCAGCTTAAAGCACAATGACCTAAATAGTCTGAGAATGTATTTTTCTTGCTAAGAATTGTATGTGGGAGCAGCCTTGGCCTCTCCGTATGACTAAGGCTAAAGTTTCCTGACCTGTCAGTCAGCCCGCACGTAGGCTGTTTTAATTAAATATCCCTATTGGATTTGAGTGGGCTGTTTCTATCAGCTTGGTTCCCCATGAGGAAGAGGTGTAAAGTCAGGAAGGGGACCAGATTTACAACCAAAGACTGGATCACTTGTACTGCTGCAAAAGTCACTTCAGATTTCAGACACTTGAGCTTAAGGACCGAGGATGGAAGGTGGATGAAATATGGGATTAGATGAACACATGGAATCATGAGACTGTATTTGTCTGCATCAAAAAATGTTGTGGCAGATACATGTTACAGATGCGAGTTAAAAGAGGTATGGAGAATTAAAAGGACTAGCACAAGATAAGAAGAAGGTGCAGAGAACTGGGAAAGATAATTGCTTTTTTAAAGGAGGGCTTTATAGTGGGCTATAGAAAAGAGCGTGAGGACTTTTAGGAAACCTGGAAAGAGACAGAACGGTCTACAGAGCTGCAGCCAGTGCAACAGGGTGGGTTTGGGGCAGTCATCCAGTAATGAAATAAAGATGTTTTACAAAAATTCCATACTTAAAAAGGCTCTTTTACCAAACTGACAGTCAAGCTGAGTACCTCAGGAGAGCTGACCTAAAAGCCTTGTCATGCCTACTCACCTACCAAGCCTACCAGATGGCCAAGACTCTAATTAGGAAGCTACAAGGCTAAGAGTTTCTAGTTCAAAATTAAAACCTTTTCTCAAATTCGAGAGGCATATCTGGGCTCAAGGTGGAGCTGA